ATGTATAGGCATCGTTACAGTCTATGAGTCAGATCCAAACTTCGCTCCTCTGCAGCTCCCCCCTCTCGTCCAAATATTGTCACTTCTGGCTCCAAAAATCCAACATGGTGATGGTTGAAATACCCAACTCAGGGCTTCAGAACTGGTGTCTGCAAACCTATGGGTGATGTCACGGTTGCCACGTCCGTTATTTTATACAGTCTATGCTGCCAAGGGAAAAAAGGGACTGATTTATAGGCCTTTATTCGTGCAAACATACGATCGTTTCAGCTCAGTTTCATCAGTGTCAAAATGGACAAAGTCATAAGGCAAACACATATATAGTCAACCAAGAATAGGTGTGCAATTGTCATTGTCTAATTGGTTGAACAGGATTTCGAATCTACTGGATAATGGATCAAAAGGTGTGAGTCTCCATAGCAAATGCAACCCCATGGATTATACATGTTCACATCAGAAATAAAAGAACATTGATCTAAAATTATATTTTTCAGCATTGCTGTGGTGAGTATTTTAGCATACTGATGTCACTATTAATTTGCTTAAAGCACAGCTATACCAAAGTACAGCCTCGCAGAGCTCCTAGCATGGCTTTAGACTCTTCTATTCATGTCATCTATTTCAGGTGAGAGCGGCTGGGGAAAGCTGTGGCGGACCTACAGGAACCAGCTCTGCAGCACAGAAATAAGTCAGTGTGTAACCACAGGAGACATAAAAATCTTCCTGGACTCCAAGGGAGTGAAGTACCAGAGCTACGAGCTGCCATCTCAAATGGATATCACCGAGTGTTTCACTGAGGGGGATGAGAAGGGGGAGCTGCTGCTTGATTTTCTCACTGAGGTGCAGGACTTCAGTAAGACAGCCCCACCTGAGCTGAAAGCTGGTGTCTTGGAGTTACTTCGGCACCCAGACTGCAGTGTGGAGTCCAACAACAAAGTTATCTTCAACAACAACCTTGGAGTGATAGTCATAGATGATCAGCTCACTTAAAAACAAGCAGTTAATATAAGAAATATGAAATTAGCCACAGATCAATAACATACTTGAATTATTTTTAAATTGAGTGATTGTTAAAATTCTCTACTGTGATTACATGTGTTTTTTTTCTTTTTTCTATCAACATTTTCTATTGATACCAGTAGTAGTTAATTCTTTTATGTGCCCGTGCAGAAAGAAAATGGCTTGATTGCAATTTTTATCCAAACACATTTGTTTTGTTGTCATGAAATCCCAAATTTTCCCAGAAAATGTTAAGATCAGAGTTTTAATCAGCGTCAAACGTCAAACCTCAGATTCCACCATGATGGCATTTTTAATGGGCTACAGCTGGCAGACTGTGTTACAAACGCCATTACACCATTGCTCCCATTGGATCATATTACTGTGGACGTATGAAAATAAATGGAAAATTTAACATTTAATTTTCCATGCAGATTGAGCTGTTAAGTTTGGATGAGATGGACACTCCTGTGGGAGTGTTTGAATTTTGTCTTTGATTGTGAATGTAATACATTGAAATGATTGCAGATTTCACTAACATTAATGAGAAATGATTGGACAAATTAAAACCAGGACCTTTTTATGCTTGCCTTTCTCGTTTGCATTGTAGCTGTTGTAAAATGAACGTGGCATTTTGTAATATAATTATTTAATCCAGTCCAATTTCCATGTTATCATTGCTAAACCTTTCATTGTGAAAATACACAAATTACATTTTGTCCTGTCTCGTGTCAGTGAGAAGGATTCTAACATAGGAGGCATAAAAATATGGTGGCAAACTGTGCTGGACTAATTGACTGGAAGATCAAGCAATGTTACTAACCACACGATGGAACTGATGTGATTGATATTTGCTTTATTATGTCTTTCCCCAGTGCCTACTTTTGATTGATTTGGGGTCTTCAGTGTGGTTTACAGTTGCTAAATTAAACATATCAACCATCCAGACAAGTTCAGCAAGGTTTTACACTAACCATGATAAGTCTAAACAACTTTAATTTAATTATACCCTGAGAAACTGTGTCTCTTTAGCCTTACAATCTGCATCAGTGGTCCGAACATACTGATACATGTAGATAGATAAACACAGGCACAGTGGTAGCTGCTGGCCTCACTATTTGTCTTCAGACAAAATAATTATCACTGATATATGAAGTATTGGCACCATCTTGAGGGCAGCATCAGTAACTGTATGATACAAGGATGGGCAGATCAAGGACAAATTAAATAGAAATGTAAATGGCTGATTACCTCCACTACAGAAAATACACACACAAAGCAAGCACTCAAGTTACATGCATTGTTGCTGTAAAAACTGTAAAATTTAACTGAAAAAGTAATAAGGAATTAGAGTACTGCATGAGACACAGAGGTATCTTTGAAACAAGGCTATTTTTGGCAAAACTCGACACACTACCCACAAAACCTTACACCAAACCAGCAAAAACATAGGCTAATTTGTGTCGATGTGAAAAGGCAGTTGACAAAATAGTGTAGCGTTGTAGAGAGCAATGTTTACAGTTAGTTTACAGGAGTGTGTTATAAAATTATGTATTGAGTGTAAAGCAGTGAGCTGTGTTTCCAATTTTGCAAAAAAAGTGTTAAAAAAAATGAAACTGAGTGTAAAGCAGAGAACTTGGATTCAGCTTGGCACACTTTGTAAATGCCTGGGCTACAAGTGTTAATGGTTACAGTGCTTCAAGAATCCCTGTTAGTGTTTAAGCATTCAGAAAACAAAGCACTGGCTGCAGCAAAGCCACAGCAGCTAAGATTGTTTTTTTATTTATTTTTTTTAAGGTTGCTTTTCACTGCATCAAATTCATAACTAGCTTGAAATCTGTCATTTTCCCCTTTAGTGTGTGATCACTGTCCCTTACACATGAACAATCTAAAAATGAGTATGAAAAGAAGTGAGCACTCGTGCTCAAGTGGAGTGTGAATGTTTGTAAAAGCAGTGTTGTACTAGAAACTAAATAATTTTGCTTTTTTTCTGGCATTTAAGAATAAGTACTAAGAGCTACCTTTATACAAACCTAAATCTATATGAATTTTTGGATTCAAAGTAAAAGTTTAGAACCATTTTTAAAACCATTTCAAGGACGTTTTATACACACAAGCCCTTTAAAAGGATTTCATTTGTCCAGATGTCCTGCAGCCCTTTATCCAAAGGTATGTCGTCAAACAATCATAGAGGGCATCTCACTGATAAATAACTATCTGTATCTGCTGATGAGTTTCCAAAACACATCCTCCTGGTCTTCAGTGAAGGAATAGACAGGACATCAGCTGGGACCCCCATTCCAGGAACTGCCTCGAGGACAAACTTGGTGTCAGGGGCCCTCAGTGCAGGAACAGACTGGACGTTGACTGGTATGACCAACTCAGGGTCCAGCAGGGCATCAACAGTGGAGCTTGGCTGCAGGGACACTGTGTTGTTGGGCAGCAGAGGCTCAGTGTTCCTAGGTAACTGAAGCTTGGGGTCACTGGGCAGCTGACTCTCTTTGGCACAGGCCATCTTAGGGGATTGATGTGTATGAGGCCTACGCTTCCCTCCAGGGGCTCCAGTCCCCAGATGACTCAGGGAAATAGCCATATAAGTCCCCAGGAAAGGGAGCTGCTCAAAGTCTACAGGGTCAGGGTCAGAAAGGAGGATTGGTAGTATTAGAGCTACCCCCTAGCATTTGGCAGGGAAAGTTGGATATCACCTCATTAAGTTGCTCCACAGGACAGGCCTCATCTGCTGGGTCTATAGTTGGTTAAATCGTACTGTTACATTTCAGGAATTGCAGGTTTGCACTGAAACAAAAAGGAACTGATGAGGACGCAGGCAGAAAAAGTTTGATTTATTGTAAAAATGGCTTCTAACCTGAGAGTCCAAGTGATGGCAGGTAATGGCAGACAGGTAGCAGGTGGCAGGTAAACCCAAAACACTGCAAACACAAATCATAAGGAGCAACAAAATCACTAGGAAACAATGGCTGAAACAATTCTCTCAGGGTGAGACGAAGAACTGACAAAGACACCAAGACTAAAGACACAAGGAAAGGAGGGTTATTAACATTGTTATAGTGGAGGGTATATGACGTATACCCACCTATCTTTCTGGCCATGAACAGCTCTCTATGGATAAATGTAGCCGACCAATCAGGACAAACCTTCCCAAATATGTGTGGATCCCACAGTATATAGGGAGGCAGATTCCCACAATCAGAAATCCTTGTTCTCTTCAGTGAAACAGCGACTAGCACACTGAGCAGCTTCCTCCATAGAGTCCCCACTTTAAGCACTTCACCAGTGCCTCACACAGACCAAGCAGAGAGCAGTGTTCAGCAGCCACCAGCCTGCGAGGCCTGCCAAGTGCTACCAAAGTTTAGATGCCAGCAGTGGTTATTAAAACCCAGACTGTGGATATGGTAGATTAACTCAGGGTGCAGGGTTGCACGGACATGTTTACCCCCTGTGCCCTCCCCCTCAAAGCCTGGTGGCCCACATGCTCCCACAGTAAACTGGTTGGTCAGAGAGCAGGGAGGCTCTAACCATGGCTGATGTAAAACAGAGAGATGCTGGAGTAGTGATGAGAGAGTGATGTCTGCCACGGGCTCTCGCCACATGTGGCTGAGACCCACTACCACTAAAAGCACCATGGGGATCTCTGCTCGTAACCCTTTTCTCAGATGAGGCTTCATGACTGTGTTAGCAAACACACACCCCACCCCAGCTTCAGTGCAGGAGAAATAGTGCAGAGGGATTATGCTAGTTTAACCAGTTTTAACTGGTAGCTTCATGATGCTGTGTCCATTAATAAATGCCATGTGCTGTGTGATGGTCTGATATAGCTCACATCACAGTGGGTCTGATTAATATGAAACAAATGAACACATTTAATTTTCCCTCCCGATTTCCATGGGAGTTGTGAGGATTAAACAGTGACACACAGTCAGCTACGGGCTGATAATGATGCATTTGCTGACCTCACTGAGACTGGAACTTTCCATGTCGCCGGTGATTTAAGAATTTTCTATGTTGGCTTCCCATCGGCCAGCCTTCCATTTGTTTGGGCACTTCGCTCACAACTGTGAACTTAAAGGATGCATACTTTCATGTTGAGGTGGCTCTGAAACACAGGAAACTCTTCGTTTCCCCTGCCGGAGGATAGTTTACAAGTAAAACAGATCACTGTTCAGCTATTCCCTGGCATCTCACACTATCAGTGGATGTGTGGATGCACAACTATGGCACGAGGGTCTTCTTTCTTTGGCTTTAGCAAACAACTGGAGAAAGAGCACACCCCTATTACACATTTATGCTTTTCTCAGGGTCCAAATGTGTGCTTGTGATTAGAGGAGTGTTTCCTATAGAGTCCAGTAGAGGGCTCCGCTTGTGCTAATAGAACTAGGGTTACAATGTTGTAACTTATAAGTAGGAGAATGAATGACTGTCGTTACTCTCTGCATACTCAGGCTGAATACTTAGTATTTAGGATGGATTTCTACCATTGGGATTTAAAGTTAGTTTTTAGTCAGTTGTTTATTGCATACATAAATCACTGCTATTTGTTTGATTTCCAACCACTATGTGTAATGTATTGCAGGTATCAGTTATGGCTGCAGAGGAAAAGCAGACTTGTTATGAGGGCAGTTTGTCCAAAACTTTCAGGTCTGCCTAAAACAGTTAGAGCGCACCAGGTCATCACTGCCAATAGAAGCGGTAGCACTTGAAGTTTTCTTTTTTTGTCAGATGACTCAGATGTTATATATCAGAAAGTAACACACTGAAAGTGCATGTTGATCTGTCATCATTTTGTCAAATGCCAATTTGCTTCTTTTTTGATTTAAATGCTTTCAAAAGTTTCTACTCATGACAGAGAATTACATAGAATTTGTGATGTAAAAAATATACCCCAAACAGATATCTTCATAACATTTGTACATGTATGTGGTAATAAATCTGATAGCACTGAGATGCATGCTGCTGTCAAATCGGAACACACAGACCAAAAGGTTCAGGGGTGCCATTTGATCAAAAGTACAGCAGGCTATATTTGCCAGTTGCTATGGTTGAATTGACCATGTACAGTAGTCTTCAGTGTCTTTAGCCTGTTATCACCTCATTTCATGGCTGCAGAAGCAAAGAAGACGTGCTTTGAGGGCACACTTCTCGAAAACCTTTTCTACCAAGAGCGATCAGGAGATGACAAGGCCAGTCTCCAGTGTGTTTACAACATCCTGCCCGAAGAATTTAAAAGGTACAAGAAGAAAGGCAGGGAGGGCCCCACTGCTTTTTTACTACTTACCCACATTCACTAGAGTTTATAGGTTCCTTCTTTATGTCTTTTTGTACAGTGTTAGGACATAGGATCATTGAGCTCTTGACAAAGTTCTTACTTTACGATTTCTCTCCAAAGTTGCAAACTAAATTGCCTATAATTTCATAAAGGTACAAAGTTGGTAGTAGTACTACAGTAACACAGTTATAATGAATCTTTCGTTGGTCAAAAGTCAGTTCTTTGTGTTGGTGCCCATTTTCCATCTCCAAACAACTCTGACAACATTGAGGTAGGTAGGGGCTATGCAACACATTTTAATTTTGCTACCATTTTTTTAAATGGCTTTTTGACTTTGATGAATTTAAACTTGTAGACATTTTAAGGCAGAGTCTATAATGAAGGATTCTTACTTATAATGACATCAAAGACTGCTTGTAGGATGTACTGTACTGTTTTTTTTTTTCTCATTCGAGGACTGTAAATTCTTGTTTCCATACTGCAGCAGGATTGATTTGTGCTTTTCATATGCAGTCTCTGATTGGAGTGAGTGTTGTGTGTAAATATACATGGCTTTATTAGAAAGTAGTGCGGGGGCGGCAGTAGCTCCGTCCATAGGGACTTGGGTTGGGAACCTGTTCGAGTCCCCGTCCGGACCAAATATGGAGTGTGGACTGGTGGCTGG